CGCGTTTAAAGATGTTTGCAAAATTTTACAAGTTATTCGAAGGTCCATGTCAGATACACAGAATTGTAGCACACACATGCATGGTAGTGTCTCTGTCTAGGAACTAAAACATACAAGCCCCTTAGACAATCTTCATCTGCATTTTGTGAACGAATATTTTTACTTGAATCGCAAATGGAAAGAAGAAAGGAATATCGCTGGTGTTAATCTAAGTTAATATTTATAAAAAGAAAGTCGTTGATCCGTCGTTTTAGTTATCGAGTGGCCTCCCTTTCACATCAGCATTTTTGGCAACCATAGTTCGCAGTGTTCGTCGCCGTCTGACCTTGGCCGTTCCGTCGCTGACCTTGGCCGTTCCGTCGCTGACCTTGGCCGTTCCGTCGCTGACCGGGTTAGGAAGCGCCGCGCCCCGCCCGCCGCGCCCCGCGCGCCGCGCCCCGCCCCGCCGCCCGGCCCGCCGCCCGCCCCGCCGGGGGTGGAACTTGAGGCGGCAAGCCCAGAAAAGTTGACAGTTGACGGCGACGTAATTGATGGTCGAGAGAAGCGAACAAACGCTTGATAGCAACGATTGTGCTATCCACCACGTTTAATGAACGAGGACCAAAAATATTTAGAACGAACAGTTCTAGTGGAACAAGTAGACGAAGTTTTTCTTTAAGTAAAGATGAAATTGATAAAAATAGAATAGCAAAAAATTCTAACTTGGACATAAAGCACAAAGGTGCAAGATAGGCGGTGTTGTAGGAGCTATGCCGAGCAACATGAACAACGAACATGGAATTAGAACTACACATTTCGCGATAGAAAAGTGCTGAACCAGGACGTCGAAGACTCTGTAATTCTTTAAAATTGTAAGAAACCTGAAGTGATAGTAATAGTTGAGCATCAGAAAATTGACGTTTAAAGATAAGAGTACAAAAATATGACATGCATGGAAATAAAGTGATCAGATGGATGGATGAATATCTATGTGCTGCAAGCGTGAATGACTAATTATATGCGTTTTTAAAATTATTTGTTGTGTAAAAGTCAGAACTGTTTTATTGAATTTTTATATTGATTAAGTAAAAAAGAAAGTCCAGATTTATGTAAGTATGGATTTGTTTATTGTGATTCCAGCCGCAAGTGAAGCTATCATTTGTAAATGGTAAGAAACGAACATTTTTTAAATATAAAAAATTATGAGAAAAGTCAATTTTTTCTTCTTTGGTAACAATTCATAATTTTACTTTAGCAAGGTAACCATATTTCTGAATTCCTAGGAAAACGTCCCATTAAGTTTGTATTTATCGGGCTTCTACAAATATACGTCGAAATAAGAAAGGTGTAATAAGTCTTCAATATTGATGATCATGTGCTTGTGATTAGTTCTCGTCTGGCAGCGGGAGGTGAAGCGGTCGTGGCACGCGTGCTCCGCATGTGCTCTAGCCTTGTTCGTGTCGCCTACGCGCAGAAGACTCTAAGGCGAATCAGCGTGAACGAAGTGGATATTAGTGTACTTGTTAGTTAATTGCTATTCAGTGTCGTGTGAAGAATTTCAGTGTAGGCTCAGAAGGTGCCACGGAAATTAAGTACTTATGTAAGTTCAAATTTGTGATTGGACTTGCAGTGTTGTGTAAAACATCAGTGAAAGTATATAAACATGCTCTGACATGGAGAAGAGCATAGAGCAGCAGAATGGAAGTGTGAAGGGAACTGCCTATGCCCATACAGTTTTATGTGAATTAACAAAATGTTATTGGCACAACAACGCAACAATGCTAACGACAGCAACAACAAACTGCAGTCACAACAGCTTAAACTAGATCAAACTACAGGAACTCTGAGCGAGATGAATTACAGTTCCGCTATCAACAAGCAGTACTTCTGCGATTTTCCTCTCTGGCATACAAGTCGTCAGTTCAAGTTAACAAATGTAATAAATCAAGAAGCTCAATCGATCTGACAGTAATTTAAGTAGTAATGATAAACGACCGGTATATGGCAGGTTGTTGTAAGCAACGCAAGAGAAGTAAATCAAACAGGCTGAAAATCAAAAACAGCAAACGTAAAATGCAAAACGTATCTAACTATATCCAAAAGATATAAGATTTTCCAGATCTCGAACTAATTAATGAGATTAACCCAATACAAAACATTGCATGACAATCATCACAATCTAACAACATTCAAAAGGTGCAAAGCCACCGCAATACTTTTCTCTGGCGTAGAGGTGATTCCGCGAATGACAGAAAACTTTAACAAAAGTCGCGAATAAAGAAGAGTTATTTCGCTGCCAAGCTTTGGTGGCCAAATACATTTAAAATTTTACGGCAACACAGACATGTTATGATCACTTATAAATACTTATTAAAGAGGAAATTGAGTTTCACAGTTTCAGTAAAACAAGAAAAGGGCATTTTAGAATAGTATTAAGAAATATTACACCTACAGTAAATATGATGATTGAAAACGAAATAGAAGAAAACGGTCATACTGTAGAAATATCAAACTGCACACACGTGTAACATAAAATTCCTACGGGTATTTTTCTCATTGATTTAGAAGCTCAAAAGATATAAAAAGACGTTTATAAATTGCAGTACCTTCAAAAGTACAAATATACAATTGAGGCTCAAGAGTAAAGCGAGATCTTGTGCAAGTGCGGGGGGCCATACTGCGCAAAAGCTGGGAGGCACCGAAGCATACTAACTGCAATCATCCTTCTCGGTGTGTAGTGTTGCGGTGAGAATCAACGATTAGTAAAACTGGGCGATACAAATAAAACAGCACGATTCCCAAAATGTTTGCTCTTGTGATGGTCCACATACGGCGAGTTATAAGGATGTGAAGATTTATTCAAAAAATACGTATTAAAAAAATTATCAAGGCAAAAAAAACTCTTCCAAGATTCACACTATATGGTTCACAAACTAAAGTGAATACAAATAAGAAAACGTTACAACTGAGAGCTACTTCAACAATAATTTACATCAGCGTGGTAACTTGTGCAAGCAACTGAAAGCTCACAAAGAAAATAGCTTAAACAATAATGCATTAAACAATGGAGTCTAATAATCATTTATTCTCAATAATAGCAGCGAGTCTTTGAAAGTTTGAAACTATACTAAGACAGCACAGAACAGATAAATGCACTTTTAAATGTCTGTGTCAAACTGCTAACTAAAATTATGAAAAATCATATAATAATAGCAGCATTGAAGCGCCAATGGCTTTGTTACGACACAGAGATTGAAGATTAAGTTTTTTCTTCAGATTAACCAAATATCTAGACTTTAATGCCAATATTAGAGCTATTTCAACTAATATAGAGGCTTTTTCGCAGCTTCCAGGTATACACATGTACACTAACAAACACTACAGATGGTAACAGAACATGGACGAAAGCCATAATTTTTTCGGGAATAAATAAACATCATGTTCACATTCCTTCACACTTAGACCATTGTATTGCAAGGCAATGACCATTAAGTAAGCGATGCATTCGAACATGAATATTGCAGCTGTATACTGCCCTCGTCACACATAACACTATTCAGAATACAGTTCAAATTCTTCAAAACATTGGACGAAGATTTACTCCTTTCTCAAACCGACTAAGCAGCTCAAATATCCTTGGAATTAACTGGACAGAAGCATAACATGGAAACACATATAAAGAATAAACTAATATAGAATTTGGATCTCAAAATTATCAGATTAAACTGGCTATTAGGAAAAAAAACGTCATCTTATCGATGCAACAAAATTCTTCTGTATAAAAGCGATTACAAAAACTGTTGGACATATGGAATATCAACCTTTTGTAGAAGCAGCTCAAAATTTCAAATATTGAAAATATTACAACGTTTCCAATCTAAAAGCAATGAAAATTCTTGGTAAATGCTCTGTGGTAGGTAACGAACCACAAATCACGAGACTTAAAATGAGAACAATAAAAGAAGCAATTAAAAGACCAGCGAATAATACTTACGACTACATAACGATACAAGGAATATTCTGCATTAACTTACTAGAACAATAGTGACCTACCAGAGCGAGCTTAGAACGATATCATACTATTAGACCTGACATATAGACTATAAATTGTTATTTTTTGATTTTTTATTATTATATGTTATGCATCTTATAATTTTTGTTTTGTTAGTTTAGTTATCAATATAGTAGGTTTAGTGTGTGTTATCTGAAAAAAATATAATATTTAGGACGTAGGTTCAGATGGACCTACTACTTCATGTTATTAAAATGGGTTGGCCAATTTTAGAACAAATGTTTGTAACAAAGATCAAATTGCAAAATATAATATTATTTTTTAAAAAATGTGCTTGTAATCACTGGGGTCCTGATTGTATGAGTCCTGCAAAATTCTCGATTTGTACAATAATCATCACATTCATAACATGGTTAGAATGCACAAGTATAAAAAATTAAAAGAGCATTTGGACTAAATGCACAAACGTAGATTTTAAATTGATGCTTAAAAAAGCAAACATTCATTTTAGAAAGAAGTAACACCGCAATCCGGTGAGGTGGGATGAAATTTTAATGCGATTTTTTCCCCTGAAAGTACGAAGCGACGGAGTGTCCAACATTTTTCTCGCAGAGATAATAGAATTTTTGAGGGTAATTGATTTCGGGGTAATTACATTTGCAGTAAGACGCCGCGGTGCC